TTATTACTACTATTATTAATTATACTCTTGGGTTATTATTATTATTGCTACATAAACATGTAGTATTTTATGTTGTCGCTGGCTGGAGGAGGATCTATAAACTCATCACACAAGCCTCTCTTGTAAAATCTTAATCTTTAAAGTAACCCGATTAAAAGTACTGCAATATGTCCCTGTAAAATGCAGTAGATTAGTGATATAAGGTAGAAAACACAAACACCAAAGTAAAGAATATGTAGAATTGTACTACAACAGCACAGATCTTATATTGTTTCTCTGGTTCCAGTAATTAAAGCTCCTACAATATATAAAACAACTCAACATCCCTCACTCACGTCTGCACCACAGTAAAAATAAAAATAGATCAAATTTGATAAAGGGTCTTTTTACGTGGAATTACATATTTGCTTCGACTAACTTCTGTCACTTTGGCCTCAATAAATGACTGAAGGAGGTGAAACACAGAATTCCAGGTTCAGTGCAGACTGCATCTAAAGTCAGGTTCTGGTTAGAGTTAGGAACCTCGGTGGTTCGATGCCCGGCTTCTCCAGTCAGCATAATGATGTATGACAGAGAAAGTCCTGCAGGAACGTGTGAACTTCTGAGAGGTTGTTAAGACGCGAAAATTGCGTCCGTAAAACTCAACATCAGAAGTTTTTATAATTGTGAAAGAAATATTATCTGAACAAAAGAAAATTAGTTAAGACAACTTTTTTATTTTTATTCTTTTTAACTTTAGAGTTTGAGCCTCAAGTTTCAAAAATCTACAGCAGTGAATTTAAGTGCTGGACAATGTGATCAATAATTATCACAACAGAATTTTTAAAAGTACCAGTTTTAAAAAAAAAGGTATAATTCATACTGTATCTACTAGAAATATACTTTTTAAACTAAAACTTTTTTTTAAAACCCAAACTTTTCAAGAGCAAAATCAGTCTTTGAATTAACGTGAATAATGAAAATATGATATTTATCAGGATAATTATCAACATGGACTCGTAAGATTTTTTATAAATGTTGGACTAATGCCCTCGTGTGTTTCCTAATTTCCCTTGTTCATTGACTGATCTGCTCCGTCAGCAGCAGCTACAACCACAGCTGCACTCAAATCAAACACACCAGTCAAAACCTGTGTGTGTGTGTGTGTGTGTGTGTGTGTGTGTGTGTGTGTGCGTGATCATTTAATTTTTTCCTGTTTTAACGACATAAAAACTTTTTACCTTGAATCTTCACTGATGAACAAAGAGGATGTTTTCACAGCCGTTGTCGTATTTGCAGTTTCAGTCTTGGCCCCTGAAGGTGGATCAGGGATCAGGCCACGTTAGCATTCTGTGAAAATAGATGTGAGCACACATGAGAGATCATTATGAAAAATCATTATCATTACTTCTCTGAATCCAGGTCCTGAAGGGGAAAACTTCAATATGAAACACACGATGGGGAATCATTTCAATTTACCTGTGATGTGAGAGTTAAATACAGGAAGAGTTTGTTTCTAAATTAAATTTAAAGTTTGTTTATTAATACACGAGAATATTATTAACTATGTTCCCTACATCCTCCTCTTATTTCAGGAATACTGAAAATGACTCTTCATACATCTTGTGTTAAACTAATGGGGATAAATGATTGGATGTGATGATTGATAATTAATCATGCAGAACAAGAACGAAATAAACAGACGCTGTCACCTCATTATGTGGACGTTTGATTAAAATGGAAAACAGCTTCTGATTCTCTTGTCAATACTTGTTATCATGTGTGTTTAACATCTGAACGTTAACAGAACAACCAACCTGTCAAAAAGCAGAAAGATCAGGTACCTGGGGCTTCATGACCACTGTGGAAAACCCCAAAACCTTTAACCACCATAATTAAACCTCTCAGTGCTCAAGCAATTCATTTATCTTCAGACATGTTCCTCAAAGGTTCTGGAGGTTCTTCAGTCAGAGGCTCCGGACATGTTCCAGAATTTATACATCATGTCCGGCCTCCTGCTGCTCTACAGGCTCCACCCCTCTCCTGAATGTTCCTGTTGTTGAGAATGAGTCGGACGATCTGCTGCTTCACAGGAGTGAGATGAACTCCGGAAAATCTCCAGACACAATTTTATTTTATAAAAAAAAATCTAAACATATGGACCGAACACGTGTTTCACACATGAAGTTTCGAGTTTTAAACACACAAAGAAAACATTCAGGTTCTGGGTTGAACGTCTCTGGGCTCTGGACTGTTTCTTGGCTCGCTCTCAGCTTCTGTCTTAACACCCACATGCTGTTGCACAAACTGCTGCCTCCTCTCACATGGCTCATGTGATTGGTCATCAGAAGAGCTGCACTCCGCCTCCACCCATCGGCGGACACTCAATAAGCCGCCGCTCATTCTGCAGCGCCGAGCACCGACAGGCCCGGACAGGCCGCAACACACATACACTTCTACTTACAGCAGATCTGAACTGCAGCAGAGGCCTGAACACAAGTACTACTACAACTACTACTACAGTATTACTACAGATACCTGTAAGTCCTTCTATCAGGATGTCTGCAGCCACTATACCTCAGACTGGAGTTTGAACTTTCACATATGAAGAACGCAGCAGGAGAAGTATCTAAAGAATCAAAAAACTTTCTATAGAGTCGAGTGGAACTCAAGATTGATTATGTCGTGGGTGGGTTTGTCTCTGCAGCTGTTTTCAGACTGTGTCTGGAGATTTTCCGGAGTTCATCTCACTCCTGTGAAGCAGCAGATCGTCCGACTCGTTCACAACAACAGGAACACGTGGGGGACATTCAGGCGAGGGGTGGAGCCTGTGGAGCCTGTAGAGCAGCAGGAGGCGGGGCATGACGTTTAAACTCTGCAGTGGAAAGTTCAGCGTTGTTGTTTACAGCTCGTCCACACCGGCGTCGGCCGTTATCACCAAAACATCTGGAATCTCCTCGTCTTTCCAAGTTGACGTCTTCGTCTTCTACGCGTACGGCTCCTCTTCTTCATCCTGACATGTTTGTGTTCTTCCAGTTTCATCAACACGTCCACATGTGTGAACATGTGATTTTCAGAGCATCTGACACAGATGTTTGTGTTTTCACGTAGAGTCCCTGAGGAAAATTTCAGTAAAATACAGGGGATCCAACTTCGTAAACCGACAGAGCCTTTCGTTGGAGGCTGTATGGGTCAAGAAAAAAAAGTATTTTAAATTTTAGTGCAGATCAGGGGTCAGTTATAGATGCTTTTCTTCAATGTATGTATAATTTAAGGCACAGCTGAGCCTTGGAGGTGGTACGAGCTCGACTGCGTGACTCTGAATGGCCCAAATCCAGAGAATAAAATGGGTGAGTATTGATGGATGATCACTGTTTTGTGGTGTGTGGTCAGACTTGTGGGAGTTTAACTGTCTTCTTTGCACAAACAAATAAAGTTATATTTGAAGATATTGCCTCAAAATGTCCTCATACATCAGCTGTAAGTGTAAAAGTGTAAAAAGCCCCTCAGGTTGAGCTCTGCTGAACATCACAGTTACCTCCTCTGTGCTGACGCCTGCACATCGCGGCCTGTGGGAATTTAAATGAGATATCCACCAATTGAAAATGTGACACCTACGATCTTTAGTGTAAAGTGCTCTACGGAGGCTGCACAGTGTCTCTCCTCCGTCAGCTCACATGTAATGCTCTCTGACGTCAGTGCAGCAGCTTTCGCAATGCACATGGATGTTTGGAAACATCTCTTTTAACTGGTCTCCCGTGTCCTGGGGCGGGAGACGAGAGGAAGAGCAGCCAAGAGAAGGGCCGAGGCTCGTCCATCAGCCGCAGATATCTAAATATTTATCCTGTGATCCACATTTATCCGCTCACTGGTGCAGCTTTCTGGGTCAAAAACATTATGTTTCTGGGAAGATACACCAGCGTACAGTGTTTATCCAGCGCTACCCACAGAGATTTATCCCAAACTGTCAGCGTTTACAATAACACACATAAATTGTAGTGTGCGTCTCACTGAAAATCATTAGACTCATTAATTTTGAGTCCTGCACCGGCTGGGAAAAGCTGGGCCGGGGAAATGGATGAGTAATGCTCTCACTCCCACCAGCAGCTGATATCCAGGTGCTCTTGAGCAAGGCACTTAAGTGAAAGCTGATCGAGCTGATTCACAGAAAGCTTGATATCACGATTCTGACGAAAGAGTACAGTGTGAAAAAACATGTCGTGAGTTTTACCTGAAAATGTTCTAGAGATGTAAACAATCTGGAGCACAGACTGGTTCTAAAGATGGACGACATGAGGGCTCCACAAAAGTGAAGTCAAAATATATGTATCACCCCCTGGTGGAAGGCTGCAGTATAACAGATGTAAACTCAACTAAAAAGTTAAAAACATGTGGAATGATGTTTTGATGGATTCTGTAGTTTCAGTTCGTATCCCACTGATGGATGTTCAAGAGTTCATGGTCCAGATAAGTTTAGTTTTATTTATTTTCAATATCATGTGCACTATTTCATGTCAATATATTTAATTTGCAGTATATATATATAGAATATTAAGTATTAGTTTCTCTCAATACATTTATTTCATTACTATACACTCATATTTTTACTTCAGTTAAATCTTCACTGGTGTTTTCGATCTTTTCTGTATTTTATTCTACTTTACATTGATCTGTACCGTAAACAAGGTGGCACGAGAATTTCCTTCAGGATTAATTAAGTCTTATCTTTAATGAGTTCATTAGTAATTTATCTTTATTTACAGTCGATGGTCTGGAGACTTAACTGGGTGATTGTAAACAAACATTAGCAGAAACATACTGTGCATGAATTCACTCAAAGGGAAGCACATAGGCTGACTGTGTTTTTGTATAGTGGTATATATTCTCAAATTGGCTAGTGGCTGGGTTTGAATTCCTCTTACATGTATACATTTTATATATATATATATATATATAGATATATAAACCTATTTGTGTTTGTGTCTAGATGCTGGCCTGTAGCAGTTAGATGCATCTTCCTCTCAAAATGTATGATTTCCATTGTTTCTTTTCACGTCAGTCTGGGTTGTGCTTCTTTATTCTAAGTAAACGTGATGTGTGTATTTTATCACCACAAAGAAACGCATTAATCATCCTGGGTGTGCTCCTCTGGAGTGGTCCAACCGTTACACATGAAAGTTCATTTAAGCAGGTGGCGCGAGGTGAACCGCTGCCAACCTGAATTATGATTAATGAGGATTTTTACATTTCTATGAAGTGTGGGACGCTCTATATTTATGTGATTTACAGGCCGAGCGTCACCGATGGAGAGATTAGACACTCAACCCACATTTAAACACCAAAGACTCCATCTATCAAACTGAGAGGAAGACAGAGGATATACTTTTTATAGCTACACACACACACACACACACACACACACACACACCTGATGTTGACCGTGGCTCTGAGCAGACCTGTTGCCATGCGCCCTCCAGACGAGGCCCTGACCTCACTTGCCAAGACCTTCCTGTCCGACTAAAGGGATCGACTTACATTTCAGAGCCCCGGCGCTGAAAGAGAACAACAGAGGGAGGAAAGAGGGGACGGCAAAGTGAGACAGGAGACGTGAAAGACAACATTTTAGCTTGTAGACCGCGGGGAATGACAACAAACATGGGGCCTGTAGTGAAACAGGATCCTCTGCTGAGGGAAGGTGGAGGTGCTGCTCTGTCAGTCCTGCTTTCAACCAGGCCGCAGGGAGGACAGATAAATACGGACAGATCCGTCAGTTTGTCTTAAAGAGGGACGAAAATAGTTTTTTCTGCTCGTCTGTTTCCAGTGAGTTAATATCCTGTCAGTTCAATTAAAGATTTAACACTGTGTGAGGTCATTTCATTAGAAAATAATAATTACAATAATCAGAAGTTTTGATGATCTCATGAATTCAAATGTCATTGTGTCTGATGAGTTCTACTTGAATTTGAGATCATATCTTTGATTCACAACTTTAGGTACAAAACTATGTTTTTAAATAAATAAAAACTTTCCCACTTTTAAATTTCTCAAATGTTCCAGAGCCCAGAGCCCAGGATTGTGTCAGTCTAGCTTGATATGACAAAGTTTCCCATCTGAAGACGTTCGAGGGAAATAGTTTTGCTCCTGATCAATTATGTAAATTATTACTCGATTATCACAATAATAGAAAAGCTGATTCTTGAACTTTTTCAGTGGTACAACATTATAAAATCTGACTCAACAATGTCACCTGTGGTTTCCCATACCGGCTGAAATTCCTGTAAAACACTGCAGCAATGCTGTGAGTCACTGTTGTCCCGGACGACATCTATTGTCTCTTAAGAGACTGATCTGTTCATTTCAACCAACAGAATTCACAAGTGTTTAACCTGTGGCCACTGTCATTGTATGTGCACCCCCTGCTGGTTGGTGAACACATGTTGCAGACTCAACCTCAGTAGAAGAGTCTGATGCTGCTGCAGCTTCATCAGACGAAAGCTGCTGGAGTCAGATCCAGAAAAAAAAACTACTTTATCAGAAGCTCCCTGATTCCACAAATGTTCAGTACTGAAAACCAGCAATAAGTTCTGGTCTGATTCATAATGTTTTAACTTTCATTTTATCATAAAGTTTTCAGTTCAGTTAGATTTCAGACTTTTCTCTTAAAGCAAACAACTCAACAACTTGTTAAATAGAAGAAGGGGTGTTGTTAATTATATCTATCTATAACTTCAAGCCTGCATAACCAGACTACACCTGTGACTCGTTTGTTTCTGTGGTGCAACTTATAACCAATAACTGATACTTACCATGTTGGAGCGTGATCCACATAATTGCTGTGGACTTAAGTGCTTGATTGATTTACAGGATATCACCATGCACATTTACAATCAGTAATTCATTCAATCCGTCCTTTTCTCTAATAAAGTTGCAGCCAGTTAACATATCTTTTACAGATTTCACGATGAAGGCACCCTGGTGATTTGAGTGAGTAACAACCGTCACCTCTCGTTCTTTGGAGGAAAGTTGGATCCATCAAGCTCCTCGTGGACGTTTGCTGTTGAATGTTGCTGAAAGAAACGAGGACGAGAGAAAAGAACGACAGGCAGACAGATTTAAATTCTCTCAGCGCTTGGAGAGCCAGCACCAAGAGAAGACCCTGCTTCTGCGAGGAGCTGCCTTAGCGAGTTTATTTACAATTCACAAAATACAGGTGTCGCTTTCACACAGTGTTCAAGCTTTTCACATTAGCGTTGTCGTCCGATAAACCACCGGATCCTCTCCGGTTCTCTCCCCCTCTCAGTCTTTGGTTTCCCAATGTTGCTTCACACGAGGAACATTCCCTACAATTACTCCCCCCCCCACACACTCTCTTGAAAAAACTTGTTTCATTTCATCTATTTGAATAATTTACACAAGTTGAATCTGAAACTTAGCTGGTTAGTTTTTGGGTTCAACACTATTTAACCATATTTATATTTTTATATATTAGGTACATTTTATCCTGATTTATGGCTTCAAACACATTATTATTTCTACATGAGGATTTTCTTGTGGTAGTTGTGCGTTGGATGTACGGCGGCTGACAGAAGGCATGTGTAGAAGTAGATTCTTTACTCTCCATACTTGTATTAGTAGTTTTCTTTTCCTGACAATGACGTTATTAAGTGCTGAGATGCTGTGCAATGAAAATGACGTTAAAATCTTGTAAAAGCCAACATGTGCATGATGAATGTTAGTTTGTGACGATGTTCTTTAGTTTGTAACACTATTTACCAGTTCTGCAAATAATATAAACATCCCCAGTTTGTCGGCAAGTTAAAAATTATCAGCCGAGGAACTATTTATAAATATCTTGTGTACTTTTGCTGCACTGAATATTTGAGTGTTGAATACGTGACAGGGTCTGTATAAAGAAAAAGAAGTCTAATGTAATGTAAACGTGACCTTCAAGGCTGCGACCACAGGATTCGCAGCCGGGCAGATGTGCGTGGATTTGAAAGCACTCGAGTTGAATCTTTCTTTATTTGTTGCGTTTGATTTTTTTTTAAACATTTTCTTAATTTATTTGAAGCACTTGTAACTTCTGCATGAGAAGGTGCATTATAAATAAAGTTATGAAATCTGAGGTCTGATGAGACCTGAGGGAAAAAAATAGATTATTATAATTTCACTTTGAATTTATGTTGTTTCTCTTTTGAACAACACAAACAGGGGGCGGCAGAGTCGGGCTGTGGTGAGGTCTACACAACTGAGAAGTGTAACACACAAATGGTCTTTAACATTTTTTTATGATCCTCGTTCTGTGTAGAATTCACACTAATCCAATATGGCAGATTCAGTAACGTCTTTGTTTTCCCTTGTGGTCGAGCTGTGCGCCCCCTGTGGGCAGAAGGTAACACGGTGTAAATACTTCTCAAAAAGACTGGTGACCCCTCTGTACAGTGCAGTTCTGAAATATTCGGACGGGGATTCATTTTTGTTCTGTCCTTAAAACACAACAGAGGCTGCGAGGCTGCAACTTGAGCTTAGTTAATCTGAAGTGAATATAAACATCAGAGCTGAATCAGAACTTTAAACCCAAGATTTTGAAATCCGCTGGACTTCAGGTCAAAACAAAAAATCCCAATATACAACAAAACTGCATTGTAGCTGGGAGCAAAGAGTCAATCATTCTTTGTTCAACGGGACAAATTTAACTTTACTTTAACCCTCCGTGAAATAATTTACTTTGTGAAAGCACACGCACAGAATCTAATTTGAATGGGGCGGGTTCACGGAACCATTTCCTGTCCGCTGTTTCAAATCCTTCTTCTTATGGATGAGTATTGACGGACAATTTTTTAAACCCCACATCTGATGTTAGACCTCACCTGCTTTCAGCGAGACAAAACTGCACTAACTTCATCTCAGTAAACAAAATCAAAGTTGAATTTCTTTCTCAAATAATCTAAAATTCTTGTTTTTCTCTTTAGAACTTCAGATGATGAGATCTCTTTATTTGTCTCCGTCACGGTCTCCGCGCAGCCGTCTCTCGTGCTGCCGTTTGGTGATGATGTATTTGAAGAACTCGTACACTGACCAGCTGATTGCTGTGGAGGGCATCTGGTAGATGACCCGGGCTTGGACGCCCTTGAAGAATGCCGGCATGCCTCCCATCCTGTACACTGTCCGAAAGGCCTCACCCAGACCAGAAATGTGGCGGCTGCCGGGGGCTGTGGCGGCGGCAGCTCCGACCGCTCCAGCTGCTGTCGCTGCATCGGCTTGGATCACGTGTATAGCCTGCGCCTCCTGTGTGTTCAGGAGGGTCTTGCAGACATCGAGGGGAGTCGTGACGGCGGCGGCCACAGCACCAGCCAGAGCGCCAGACACTACGTGGGAGGAAGGGTTGTATTGTCTGTGGGGGTTGAGGAGCTCCTGGAGGTATTCGTAGGTCATGAAGTGGAGCGCCTGGAAGGGCACGTTCATGGTCAGCTGGGTGGTGTAGCTGCGGTAGAAAGCGGCCGGGCCCTCGCGCCTCAGCAACGAGCCCATGCAGTCCAACACGCTGCGGTAAGGCGAGTTGAACATCTGCATTCGCTGTTTAACAACTGAAAAGAGAAGAGAGCGGAAATTGTGGAAATAAGAAAAGGAGGAATATATTTTACACAATTCCACAAAAGGAACTAACAAGTCGTTCACAATAAATGTGTTCTGTTTAAATAATGATGAAATGGGATCAGAGTTATTGGGTTTGTGGCTCCCCCAAGTGTCCTGATGGCAGACCTGCACCCTCTAATGGGTTTTCTACACACAGTTCACTCTTCACAGTCACAGCTGACTTAACAAGCAAGGAAGAGGTTTTACCTTCCGCCGGGTTCATCATGGCGTCGTGCAGCACTGTGGCCATGCAGCCCGCAACTCCTGCAGAACAGAGACATGAGGAAGTTAAAGCCTCGGCCACGAGAACATCACGTTTCTCCATTACACATCAAACTATAAATCTATTCAATCGGTTTTGACAAAAACAGTGATGGTTAAATTTGAAAACCATGAGTGATAAGTTCCACTCAGATCTGGTGGGAGGCTTCTTACCGTTGGCAAAGTGGCTGTTAGCTCCGGGGTGAATAGCGTCACTGAGTGAAAACTTGATTTTCTCATAGCAGGCGAAGTAGAGAGCGTGGGCGGGCCCAGCGCCGACCGCCAGCACGTTCACGCCTCTGATCGGACGCCACACACCCTCAGTCCGCACGATCTGCCGCAGGGCATCCATCACGTTCCTGTAGCGCGCTCCCGGTTCGGGATGCAGGCTCTGCATACGAGTCTGAGGTGAGAGGAATAGACACAGACACGTAAATAACCTCATAATGATCCAAATTATGTTTCACCTATGAGTCAAACTGAAGCAGACATCAGAAATGTGATATTGTAACGCATCAGGAGACACTTTCACAGCTCGGCGTATGAATTTCAAGCAGCATGTTCGTATCCCTGATACTCACTCTGACAATCTGTCGACTAGAAATCACACCAGTTTAAAGTGTTTGAGACAGAAATAGCTGCATTCAAGCACAAGGCACACATAAGGAAGAGTTCTTATCCACACACTCACATCACCTGGAGATAAGCAGTAATGTTAATGTGGACAGGTCATCAGTCTTTGTGAGTGAAGCAACAGAGCAATGAACACAACTGGAAACCTCCAGGTTGTGTAATCCTGAAACTTTTCAGATAATGCAAGAAGTGAACTGCCCCCCCCTCCGTCCAGGCTGCCTCCTGGAGGCAACTGAGGAAATTCCTGTTCCATTTCTGGGAAATCAAATGGAATGTTTTCTTTTTTCAGATTTGAGTCCCATGAATAATCTTCCTGAATACCCGGGGCCTGCTGAAGTCATCAGATCAGTTTAAATCAGGTGGTTTCTATTCTTCTGTTTAGTTGCATACAGTGTGTTGTAATGTTTCGGTGATAATTTGATTCTCAGTTTGTATCTCTATGCTACGTTTTCTGTTTTTTTTTACTTAATCTTATGGAGTTTATGCTTATTGTGACTGTACAAAGTTTTGATAATAAATAATTTTATATTTCAATGATTTCATATTTCTTTAATTGTGTAGACATTGAATACTAATATCACTTTTATTTTATTCATATTTTAATTTATTTGATTTTTTTGTTCTGTCTAAACTTGTTTTTAAAAACTCGTCTTAGCCGTTAACGGGCCCCTCTGGCAGCTCTACCCTTGGCCGTGCTGTAACTGTAGCATGAATCACAACAAGATGCCTGATGCTATTTTAAAAGCTGCATTTGTCGGGGAAGTAAAAATCCCGATGAGCCTGGGCCTCCGTCATTCAGCTAATGGCTAATAAGCACTCATGTGACATATGGAGTCAAGTAGAGCTAAGTACTGAGCGGAGAGGTGAACAGAATGGACAAACGTGTATTGTCAGATTGTTGTGTATCGGTGTCACAATGTGTATTTCTTTGTCTGAGGCCAATAGGACGACAAACACTAATCTACCACTTAAACAATGATATTTAAAAAGCTGGCAGTTACAGCCAGCTTTCCTCAAAATGGTGTTTGATTTGTTTGGAGGAGAAAGAAGGAACATAAAGAAAGAAATACTATTAACATTCACCGTCCACACAGACTGAAGAACCATGAATCTACTGGTAAGTTGTTATGCAGTGAATCTAGTGACTGAAATATCAGATTTCATTACTGGGATGACTGGCATATATAAATAAAACGTTTTATTTTTATCTTTGCGCCTCGTGGTATTCGTCATTCTCTTTAACATTATTTCTGCTGAGGTCTCATTAGGCACAGAGTTTCTTTCCTTTTCCATCTAAAACAGAACATGAAAAAAACTTTTACATAGCGTGAAATTAGTCTCGGAGATTTTTGTTTTCTGTAAATAGCACCAATATCTAATGTTGGTGACATATCACACAAAGTTTTACTTAATAATGAGGAGACCACAAGAAGACGACAAAAAACATTCATTCAAATCCGGGAGTAAAAGTTCATTTCTGCACTGTAAAGACCCAAAAACTGATTTTTTTTCACAATTCACACTAATACTTATGGGGAAAAAGTTCAGACAATACACAAGTATATATTATCATCTACCAACTGCATGTTTCACGTGAATGCTTTTGTCCAATCGACGACAGCTCCTGCGGAGAAAATTACCCGGACTTTCAGGTCAGCGGTGTGGAGGCTTTTGTGAGACTCTCTAACTGGGCATCATTAATTAAATTAAGAGATTTAGAAGAGGGAACAACACATTCCATGAAAATAAGTGTGATTGCGACACACAGTCTTGTTCCCTCTCTGGTCTAGAAAGTTGGTCGTCTGTTTCAGATCTGAAGGTAGCAGGAGGAAATGCTTTTTGAATTTTCATGGGGGAAAATCTTTCAACTCAACAAATGTTACACAACTTCCTCTATTCTGAGGTTTTCCTTTTACAATCTTAGTTTCCTCATGCCACAGCAGGTTGGTCAACATCTTGATCTACCATTGAGTATAATGCTTTAGCTCATTGTTTCCACTTCTTTCAGATGATGCTTCCTCATTTCACAAAAAGGTCTTCAAACCTGAGAATCAACGTTCCACTGATCTGTTCTCGTTCCCAGTGAAGTCAGTGTGCAACGATTTTAAGTCATGAGTTTTAAGTTCATATGACAGCAACTAACCACAGTTTCATAGGATTATAAATCTAATTGATGGACGAGGCTTACGATCAACGAAACAAAATAAATGAATAAACAATGTTCATTCAAATTTCAGCAAAAGGTGACGCTTTTAAAATGTGATGTTTTGTCTGATTAACAGTCTGAAAAACAGAAAACTAAGAAATCAGAGACTTAAGGAAATAATAATTCAGTAATGATCAGTGTGACCTCCTAAAAGACAATAATGAAATCTCTATGTATAATGTTTTTACTAACACTGCTGCCAGTTACAACCCAAAGAAAATACTTTATCCTGGTAAGTCACGATCTTCTTTCTATCTGCTGTGCACAGTGTGACCGATGCAAAGGAAACCGCCCTCATAAACAAGCTTTGAGGCCGTTTTGCCAAAAAAATGCTATGAACTGGAAGAACTAATCGTGAAAGAATTTGTAGTGAATTAGAGCTTTGTTAGAGTGAATGCTGTTCTGGGAAACTACTGAGAATCACAAGAACGTGGAGGTGAGAGTTAATAAAAATCCAAAATGAAGTACACAAGTACAGTTATGCTTATCTTGGTAGAAAGATGTTTTTACAATTAGCGTACATGATGTTAATTTCTCTTTAGGCAAACAGGAAATGAACATAAACCAACTGACGTAAGCAAATCATTTCCCAGAGATATGTTCATTTCCCGAGGATGTTTCCATTATCGCCAATGTAGCTACTTGATTTTACCCGGAACAAAACACTCAAAGCAAAGTGAATTTAACGTTCATGGCCTCTCCTTTGAATGTGCCTCGTTTGGTCTGTTTTCCAGTGTAAACAGGACACATACAGTTTGTAAGAACTGGTTCGTATAATTGTGTAACTAACAGCTGGAAAATCATGAGCACAGGGAGTTTAAGGTCAAATTTCAAAACCGTGTTTGAGAGGGGCCCCGCTGGCACAGCTGACATATTGGATAACAGTTCCTATTCGTAAATAAATTGAGGCTGTGCAGCAGAACAGCTACAGGTTTAAAACAAATGATGTAGGATTAATCATAATTAACAGGGAGCATAAATAGTTTGGTTTAAGTAAAAACTAACAGTTAATATTCGCCTATTATAGGTTGAGGTGGCTGAGCAGCTATGCAGGTGCCAGTTATGTCATGTATATTGGTTTACACTAAATCCATACAGGCAAGGGTGGCTGGCTGCTCGGACAACTGTGCACACTACACACCTCCTTATTTCAAGTTTAGGGGTTGTTTCATCTCCAAAAGAATCAATTTCTATGGACTGCTGCCCGTTGATCTATTGACTGATGCCCTATCTGAGTTAATCATCCACTCGTTCCTTCACACCGAACTTAGCACATGGATCTTGTCTGGAAGTTTAAATCCACAGTTATGTCCCTGCAATCAAACAGACTGTGAAACTATCAATGCAAATTAGGTGAAAATCCAGTTCATGTTTATTTAGTTCTTGTTTTGTGCATATTGGAGACAACTAACAATGCTCTGTTTCGATGTTGGGACACAGCTAATGCAACATCCTTGTTTCAGCCTTTGTTTAATATTCCCCAAAAATGGCATTTGTCTGTCTTAAGGGGAACTGAAACTGTTGGACATCACTTCTATTTGTGTTCAGCCAAAGAACAATTATAGAAAAAAACTTTATGACCGATGTGGTATCAACACACATGAAGTCACACCAATGAACAAATGATTTGAGAAGATAATATAAGCAAGAAAAACACTTTTAGTTAATTTACATAACGCAATTAAGAACTAGGTTTATTCTTTGAGAGACTTTGTTAGAGTGTGTTGCTATATATATATATAATTTCAGATCTTTTCGACTGTGACCTTATTAATTATTATTTATTAACTCAGCCTTAGAGTTGAAGTTATGTTTGTGCTCTTAAATGGAATGTTTGAACAAAATGAAAAGAGGAAAGAAAATCAAATAATGTCAAAAGCATGACTGGTGAGTTCTGTACTCTGGATCAACAACAACAACAACTCAAAGTTAAGTGATACGTGGCTGAATAAAACCGAAGCAGGACTCTGATTGAGTCGTATAAGATTCTTCTGTATGCAAAAAGATAATGTCGTGGCGAGGATCTGAATCAATCACGACAACTCCATCTCAGCTACGGATGTGTCCGATAATGGATGCATGTTAGCCGATGAGAGCAGTAAGCTAATGCGTGTAGCATGCTAGCTCAACGAGAGGAGACGCAAACATCAAACCTGGTAGTTCGTTGTTAAAATATTATCACGCACCGACGTGGGAGTGAAAGTGCAGGACACGTGCATCACGGTCATAACTCATCTTTCACTTTGACCACTCAGCTTCTCGCTCTTTCGTGTTTAACGCTAGTTAGCTGGCTGACCTCTGTTAGCAAGGTTACCCCTGTTAGCTTGTGGCTAAGCGGACTCAGGCTTGTGTTGAGGCCTTTACGTTTTGCACCGGGGCTTGCGGAACCGGTGGCCGCGTGTGAGGTGACACAAACCGGGCCTGGCATGTTGTGAGTGAGCGGTACCTTGACACAGTCGATGGGGTACATGAGGCAGTGCTCCATGATTCCAGCCACGGCTCCTGCCAGCATGTGTGTGCTGGTGGCTTCTCCCTGAGGCAGCCCTTCATAGTCTATGTCCGGCTCCGCAGAGGTCGGGGTCTCCGTCGGTGTTGCTCGATGCAACACCGGGGCAAAGTCCTGTTCCCCGGGCATCCTCGACGAAAGAGACCCAACAAAACCCCCGGTGGCCTCCAGGAGCCTGCCGCCCAGCCATCGGAACTCTGCCCCGGCTGCGGCGCCAGCGACTCGGCTGTCGACGCCCGGTGTTTCCACGGACCTTCGCCGGGACACGAAGCCGTCCGCTTCCATTCAAACGTCCAAGAGTCTACGTCCGTGAAGTGGGTTCGATTCCTGGACTTCAGCGACCCGCCTGTGGACGATGTGCTCCCGGCGGGTGCGTGTGTCTCCTCCCGGGGAACGTGTTGGCGCGTCGCTGCTCCTGCGCGGCACAGAGGAAACATCCGGGTGGGTTCTCAGTGAGTCACGACTAGAGCGGGCGCTGATTGGACCAAACATATGTCAATCTCGCCAGGGGTCCCTGCGATTGGTCGATTTGTTCTAAAAAAATGAGGCGGGGAAATTATAGAGGGCGGGGATTCTGAGTCGCTGGGCGTTGCTGTTTTGTAACAGTGGGAGGTCGCAGTTCCGGGAAGAGCCTAAAACCAGTGACAGTAAACCAGCTTAGAAATAAAGATTTATACAA